CAACACCTTCATTCAAGCCGGTGCCCTTTTTCTGTGTATGTGAGAAGAGGTCGAAACACAACCAATATGAGTCCAAGTGCTAAGCTGCAGCGTAGAGGCCATTCCTGCTGTTAGCGCTCTGCGAGTCTAGCGCAAAAACGCATGATCGCACCGGCAGTTCTGGTGCGTTCCAGTGTGGATTATGGCTTTTATGGGTTTTTGCTTATATGCAAATGCAAAAACGCATATTCGCAAAAGGTTGTCTGTGTATGTGTGTTTGCACTTTTTGTCACTCACTTTCATCTCAAGAGCTACAAATGCTAGAAGGCTGAAACTTTGAGAGTATGTGCCCGCCACCTCTGCGATCCTCCGGTTCTAATATCATCACCCGCGTACGCCTGGGAGCCGCGTACACATGCCTTAAAAAATGTGCGAATTTTTTTGCGGGAGTACGATCTTGTGAACCAGATAAGATAGAGAGTTGAAATTTTACAAGAATATTCTCTGTGCATGTATGAGCTGAAAATTTTAAATTCAGCCCCTAAGTGTGCGTATTTTTCATATATGCGTAAGTGAAAGCTTTACCGGGAAAATTGCTAAACAGGTTGCAGCATCCAGGTTGAGTGCAGATGGCAAGGTGTGAAGTTAGAAGAAAGTAGTAGTGTTGATTACAGAGGTGAGAGCGAGATAAAACGTTTCGGTCCATTAAGTCATATACGTCTTAACTCAACACTGCGACTGGACCTCGTCAGTGTGACTGTCGCAGTGCACAAGGAGAAGAAAGAAAGAAGAAAAAGGAAGGAAGAAGGAAGAAGTGAAAGAAGATAGAAACCGAAAGCGAGGACAAACAGAGATTGTAACACTGTGAAGCAGGTGGAAAGAGGGGGAAGGGGGAAAGTGATTAAAAACAGGGAAATGAAAGTAGAAACACTAGGGTTTAGTAAATTGGGAAAGTCAGAAATGAAGTGAGGTAGAGAAAATCTTATATGTGAAAAAGGGTTTAAATAAGAATGTAAGCAAACCTCGATGGTGGAGGTTTTGCTGTTCCAATTGTCATCGCCAGAATGTTTGCTTCGTTTAGCGGTGGCCATGCCTAGAATAAGAAAAAAGCGGATATGTAAGCTGACGGTAAAATTGAATCGATAACGCAACGTGAAATATGTAATAAACCGGAAAGCGCGAGGGTTGTGTGGACAGGCAGTGTATCAGGCAGTGACAGTGTGTTACAGTGAGAGGGAAGTATTTGGCGAAATGAAGTCTGTTTTTGTGCATGAAAGCACCAAGTAGACGGTGAACACGATCAAGTGGAAAGCCTTTAGCCGAATAATCGAGAAGCAGACGGTGAGCCGAAGAGACAAATTCTTGAGAGGAGGACTCAATGCGCAAGTATCTTATAAGTTGACTGTAAATCGTACCATCATGAACCGATGGGTGCACATTGGTATGAAGCGAGCAATACTTGTTGGTGGGGAAAGTGAAGTGGTTACCTTTACAATTAAGTCCGAAACCTCTGCGGGCTTCTTCATCTATGGAAATAGTTATATCTAAGAAGTCAACGAAAGTACGGGAACCAGTGATCTCAATGTCCAGGTACTGGCCGTATAAGTTCAGAAGAAGCGGACGAGAATGAGGAAAGTTAAGCAAGAGCGGGTGGCCAACATATCGACAAAGAAGAGGGTGGAGGATTGCTGGGGATCTTGCTAAACTTAAATTCAAGTACCGAGAGGGTAAGGTCAGCAGTATAGGAGCTTGCATTGCCTACCACAGGGATGCCCTTAACTTGTCGGAAGATGTAACCGCCAAATCGCAGATTGGCTTCGCTAACTACGCTGCGAAGGACACTATCGATTTCGTAGAAAAATAGACTACACCTTAACGAAATGATCGTGTACGGTTAACATTATGCATATTCTTAGTGGTGATATGCAGAGCGTCGGCATGGGCATTGTGAAAGCACAAGGAGAAAAGATAATAACTGAGCGCATCGTAAATGGCATGATGAAGCAGTTTCGTAAACGAAGTGCAGAAATCAGCGGTATGAAAATTTTGAACGAGGCCACATCCGTTAACGAATGCGATCACTTTGCTGGAGTTTAAAACACGGTAAAAGAGGCGTTTACATAGCCTGCGCTGTAGCACCGATGCGTAATTGCAGAGGTGGAATATACGATGGAGAAGAACGCTTGAAGGCTTAATACTGAACTGTACGGCGGAAGTGATAAATCGAAAGCTGTAAGGGATTTTGTCGAACTTAGACACAGCATAGATTATGGGCAGGACCTTGTTCTCATCGTCCAGTTGCAGCTGGAACCTCTGGAGGAGAAAACCGTGACGAGCTAGAATAAGAGGAGCATTTTCATGAACAGTGCTGTAGGTGTCGTCACCAATGACGCCACCACTGTTTAGTATTCCTAACTCCTGTCTAAGCACGTTTATATAAAGTGACCTGCAGATGAAAGCAAAATTGTTAGGTGCCTTGCCGACCAGCGTAATCACTAGTAGACGTCGGTGGCGTCAAGAAC